GACCAATTGGCAGCATCAGGATGGATGGTGAAGAGATTGAGATTGTACACAGCTTTAGTTTGCTTGGCTCTGTAGTCAACAGTCTTGGCACCAGCAGCCAGGAAATTAAAAGGCGCATTGTCATGGGGAAAATGTGGTAGTTAACTATTTTAAAGTGACATATAGAAAATTTCCTCCTATAATAAAATAAAGGGAGCTCTGGTGGCTTAGTTAGTGGTAAGGAATTGTTCTACCAATGCAAAGGTTCTCAGTTTGAATCCACCAGTCGCTCTGTGGGGAAGTGATACACAGTCTTCTCAGTCTCCTCCTGTGTAAGCTATTGCCGTTGAAAACTGACTGGAGGATTAGTATGGGTAGGTTCCAACTTGATATCACACACCAACAATAGTAAAATAAAGGTGGATGGTGAAAACAGCAAGGATATGTTACGCAAAGGGCATAGTCCTCCTTACTAACACTAGCTTGGTAAAGGTCAAGTTTTCATTAGAGTCAAGTCTAGACTTTGTTATGGGAAGAAAAGTTATATACTGGTGAAGGCAAATCTGGTCTCTAGTCATAGCTATTGAGTCTCAAGCTTTAGTGTACTTCTCTGTAAGATACAGATAATAATAACAACAACAACAACTACTACTAACCTGTAGAGTTATGAAACAAGTTATGACATGGAAAGTGTTAAAAAAAGACATACCCAGGCTAAATGTGAAATAAAACTAGATGCTAATAATCACTTTGTCTTGATTTAATGCTTGGAAATATTTTTCTATTCATGGTAGGCATGGGTCATTTGGTGAAGCAGTTGATGACACTGGCTAATGGACGTGTGGTGCTGGCGTTAGAAGGAGGACACGATCTCACAGCCATCTGCGATGCATCAGAAGCCTGTGTAAATGCCCTTCTAGGAAATGAGGTAAACAAACCAAATAGATAGATATAAAAACCCAAGCCCAACCAGAGGTGTAGTATGCATGCATAATTAGGTGTCTTTTTTATATATTATATGAAACCAGTATATTCAGAAATCATGTTTGTTGCCTGCTTATAGTTATTTCTTTTTATTTTGTATTTTATTTTATATTGATTTGCATACAAAATTCATGTATTTCATTAAGGTACATTGTACACTTTCCTTCATCACATTGTGTTTCATATGATCATTTCCTATGTTGTTTGACATTAAAAATATAATGAAAATCTTAGCTATGAGAAATAGACATGTACTGATTTTAGATGAGAGAGCTCTGGTGGTGTAGATTTTGGGAGTTATACTGCTAAGCCAAAGGTAGAGCTCAAGAGTCAGCTATGAGTTAGTTCCAACCAGATGAGTTGGAGTTTTTGAGTGAGTTTTGTGTGGGGAGTTCTGGTGGTGATTGTAGGGATCTGCCCTACTAACATGTTCTCATAATTGCCTCACTTTCTGTTACTCATGAAAGTACTTTTTATTTTGAACGTTGAATATATAGCTTTTATTGTTATCATTGTCTTACAAATTTAAGATATTTCAAGATTATTATTTTGTCTTTTTTGTATATTTTTAGTTTGAAGAAAATGGGAATGCTCAAACACTGCTCAAATGTTTATTCTGTTTTATAGTTTTGAACAGCACAATAATCCGAACATATAGTGTCAAGAACTATTTGCTGATTTCTAATTTATCTGATTCAATGAGTTAACATTTTCTAAAGTTTTGTCTTTTTTGTATTCCTTTAAAAGAATAATGCCAAATAGAATGTTAGCTTATTTGTGGCAATGGAGGAATACAAAAACAGTGCTAAGAGGAGATATTCTCCTCTTGGTAAGATTCATAGTCTCAAGGATGCCAAAGGAGGGTCACCATGAATTAGAATCCACTTGATTATAGTGACTTCTGTCTGTCAGCTAGTGTTGTGCTGCTCTCTTGATACACATTGATCCCTGTATGATCAGACAGGGACTCACCCCTTCCCCACCATGCTCTTGGAAACAGGTTGGGTTAGAGGAGCGGGTTAATGAAAAAGTTATCTCATAGTGATAATCCAAGTTTTAGTGAACAGCAGTCTCAAGCCAGATTAACAGCAAGACACAATTCATGAATTAGTTCAGACAGATTCTCAGTCAACAAATGAAAATCCCAGTTCAATTTAGCAACACAAATGCAAGAAGCCTCTGATTTGCTCAGTCGTCCAGCAAGTTTTCTTTTTTTTTTTAAATTTAGGTTGTTTATTTTTCATTTCAATGAACATCTACAGAGATTTTGGAATTCCATTC